GTTATTTCCAATGTTATAAGGGGAGGGGGAGTAAAATTCATGAATGGGAATGCACTAGCAAATATAACAGAGTGATTTTTAGAGGAACAATTTATTTGCAGAAAAATCACTTTGTTCAACTATTTTTTTTTGTCACTTTTTGTGCCAAATTAATTAGTTTTCACCAAAACAGGGCAAATATTTTAAAATCTCTGAGCATTTTATTTCAATGTCTTCAAAGAAAATATTTGATTTTTCATGTTGAAATATGCTAAGATTAAATGTACCTATTTTACTTCTTTTAGAGTGGGTAAAAAGTCCAAAAAAGAAAAAAGCATGACACTTCACATCAAATAAAATATTTTGCTCACCCAGAAATTATCTTGTGTTTTAATTTTGGGCAATAAAAAGCCTGAAAAAATTCATTTGAGATGATTAGATTTTTTTTTTTTCAAAAAAGAATGTCTTTCCACTGAATTTTAAAAAAATCAATTACTCCCAATGCTCAAATGTTGAACTCTTTTAGTTATGCTTGCACTGATAATTAACAGCGGCTAAATATGCTAGAGGGAGAAAATAATTCATATTTCTACATGGCCTTACCAGCTAACACCATTTGGAAAATACGCAAGAGTGGTCATGTGTTTGGTTCAGTTTATAAGAAATCTTTTCCTAGGTGATGCCAACTTCCCATATCTCCATTGCAATGGGATCATCGCCCTTATAAATGATGATGCCGGCACTGTCTCAACTTCCTAAATGACCACATGTCCAACATCTTCAGAATAAACAAACACAAAAGGCATCTTTCTAACAATGCCAGCAAACACTCTGTCTCATCAGACGTGTAACATTCCTTTCTTTAAGACACATTTCTTAAAGTCAAAATTTCTTAAGGCTTAATACTAATCTAATCTACAAGCATATTCTACTACAGATTCTCTGTAGTAGAAATGAAAGCAACCTATTCCTCACAGCACTTACTTTCTCAAAACAGGATCAGCAAGCAGAGTTTTGCCTGAGACTTCAGCTTCAATGAGTTGATACCTATAAAGAAGCAGGGAGAGATGGTCCTATCCATGTTGAAATGTGGTAGTTCCTTAAATTCCTACAAGTACATAAAGTAATGAATTAAAAAAAAAATCTTAAAGTATGGGGACAGCTTATCTTTTACTTTCTTTGAAATTCAAGGTATGGATAAAATCCTGATCCTACTGAAGTTGATGGCAAACTCCTAGTGACTTCACTGGGATCAAGATTTCACCTATGTGCATATGCAGTATTAATGGGTTTTATGGAACAACAAGATAGAAGGGTGAAGAATAACTGGATATCTATGCCCCTGGGCATAAATATGTTATAAATCCAACAGTTCATTTGAACCTTGGGAGAGAAGTTAGACAAACTTTCAGACACAAACTGCCTTTCCTCAAGTCTCTTTGTCCAGCTTCTCTTCCAGCTGTACAGCTAATCCAATAAAAGACACCACAAGAAATCCTTTGCCCTTCATACATTCCTTCGGCCATCATGGGTACAATAGGCATTTTAACTCCATTTAAAGCTTGTGCTTCTAATACATAAGCATTGCTGATGATTACTTCTAGGCTTTCTAGATGTTTATCTTTTTATTTCTCTCCTGTAAACCTCAGTTGTTGGAGCTCTTAGTTGCCCCTCCCACATTATGTTTTTCTTTCCAGGTTTGAAAAAATCAGAAAACTATTTGAAAATGTATAGTATTTGATAGTATCGTGTACAATGATATTAAGAGGAGTAAAGGGACCGTCTTCTCCATTCTGCCTAACAAATGCATGCTGGAACACTTGAGTCTTTAGAGCCTCAGAGTACTACCATCCATGTACTTTCTCATTTTCCCCACCCTGACCCAATAAATGTCACTGGTGCATGGCATCTGAGCTTTAATTAGACCTAACTGCCAGGACAAGATTATAATAGGTTTTCTTCAAGTTACCATTATCCGATCTGTTATTTTTTGTTTCCAGCTTCAGTCTACAAGACGGAACTTTTTACACCTAAACTTTTGAGAGAGGAAAAACAAAAACATAAAAGTGTCTCATGAACCATAAAGTACAGTATCCAACAGGGCTAATTTCAATATAGGCTTTCAGTCACCATTGTAACATATATATTAGGTAACATCATTACCTCTTCTGCGCTTTCCATTTGTCATTTCATGCACTGGGCCTATGAGTAACATCTGTATTTCATTAGACTTGGATCATTAGCACTGCATTTACAAACAGAGAGAGTCAAACCTACAAGGTTGCACGTGTCAGGAAAGTTAGGGCAGTTCAGCTCAGTGGCTAAAACTGGGGTTTGGGTAGGCGACAAAAGCCAAAAAATAAAAATAAAAAAATCTTAAGCCAAAGATACCAAATCCAGAGGGTAGAATTAAAGGTAAATCCAATATCCCAGGCCAAGATCAGGGCTAAGATATGACAATATGATGAGATACGAAGCCAAGAGATCAGGAGCCAGAGAACAGACTCAGAAAGCTGAAACATTGAGGCAAGAATCAGGAAAGTACTAAGAAACAAGCCTAAGAGATGTTAATAGCTGAAAGGCAATCTCTTAAATAAGCAGCTGGAGCCAATCAAATGGCTCCAGAGTTCTTGGCACTCAGCTGAGACAGACAGATCTTTAAGATTGGGGGCAGAGATGTAACCCCTTCATGAAGAACCCTTGGCACTTTGCAGGGTTGGGGTTATGAGGAGGAGTGAAGAATGATGGCCTTTATACTTTTCTTGTTCATACAAACAGCTGGGAAATAAGGCCAGATGTGACACAGTAACAGTGTGATTAAAGTGTACTCCACACAATAGTTCTGCCAACTCAAGTTCTGCCAGAAAAAAAATGTGAATGTGTCTACACACAAAGCTTCTCTGAAGTGTTAAAAACCCCAGCTCCTTCAGCAGAGTTATAATACTTTGCCTGAGGGAAAGAACGCCTGGTAGCTGGAAGAAGCCATACATATAGACCCTCCTGTACCTTTTTTAGCAGTCTCTTCAGCAACTGGTGCCTTTCCAAAGTGCACTTTTTATTATTTTAGGACAGCTGCTGAAGTGGAGCAATGCAGAGCCATCAGAAACATAGGAACATGTATTTTTTTGTGTACATACATGCAGGTTATTGTCAGTGGCTGCTGTCTTCACCAGGAACCAGCAGAATTTGGTGAGCTTAGACAAAAACACCTCCATCTATTTGTAGTTGTTAGTAGGAGGAAATAGACTGAATATAGTTTTCTCTACAAATCAAATGTATAGTTCAGTATTCGATTTCTTTCAAATATTCAGCAATGTTCACCTCTGTTTTTCTGGAGTGTTTAAAGTCTGCTTTTCATAGCTACATCATACTTTTAATTAATCCTCCCCCCACCATGTTAGAAATATGCCCTCTCAGCTTAACTTTACAGTGTTTTAAGTGAAAATAAACTGAAACAATTCTAAATTCTAATTCACATTATTTGGAGGCCCCATTTCCACAAATCTAGATTGCATCTGGTGATGGACTATGCATAATATCAGTCTGATGGAAAATAAACTGGTTATAAAAATTACTTCCTGTATTAGAGACCATGAGATTTTTTTCTAATGTATAAAAAAGGTTTATTTCCAGGGGAGAAGGAAAAAAGGATTCTTACTTACTAATCTGGTGGAAATTCTTAGAAGTTGCTAAAAAAAAAAAAGTCTTCTCAGGCTTCCAAAGCAGGAAGTTTGAGAAACATTCTTGAATACTGAAGGAAAGTAACATTTCTATGAGTTATCAATTAAGAACAAAATTGGAATAAATTCAAAATGTATAAGCAGACAGAACGCATTGCCAAAAAAACTCAAGAATTGTTGTAGCATACAATCATTCACTTCACCATCAGGAGATCTTAATTAATCTCTTTTGTGTTCATTTAATTGTTTACAATTGTTTGATCTTTTTTTCCCCCTCCCCTTTAGCCCTCATCAAGAAAGAAGCCTTAAATTTAGGAACTAAAAATCTTTTTTAAATTGTCTGTTGTCATCTAATTATGGTCACTTATTGAACTACACAGTGTTTGGTCTGACAGCATAGAATCACTAAAATAATTGCATTACATCAATTAAATACTTGGATAATCTGAGTTAGGAAATCAGAATAAAGATGATTGTGACTAAGTGATTGTGGTTAATACAGCATCTTGTAGCAGCTAAGGTGCATTGAGTTAGGTGTGGGCAGCACAATGACTATGTGAGCAAACAGATAAACACAACTATTTAATCAAATTGGCAAAGAGCACCTACTGTTAAACATCTTATCCTTCTGATTCTGACTTGTTCAACCAAT